GTCGTGTGTTGATAATTATGGCAAATGGATATTTTTTTCAAGTAAAAATATTCTTAAAATTATGTATATAATATATATATATATATATTATTTATAATATATCTATATATATATATATACACACATTTAATATTAATAATATTAAAAATATAATAAATATTAGTTAATTATATAATAAAGATAACTCTTCATTATTGGAAATTCTTGTAACCAATAGATGGCGACAGGGAGAAAATATTGAAACTACACAAGCGACAGTGGTGCAGTGGTGGTGGTGGTGGTGGTAGTGCTGTCGGTAAAGTGCACCTGTCTGCTGTCATCGGTCTTAAGTGTCGACTGACTGTCAATCTGACGGACGCTTACGGTTAGCCCGGAGAGAAGATAGAAAAGTGTGTTTAATTATTGGTTATATGAAGGATAAACGGGAATATAAAAGGAAATAACAAGTTAAGAAGAATAAAAGTGAAAAGTAAAAAGAGAAAAGTGTGAATTAACGAGAAATCAAATAATTGATAAAGACGACGACGACATAAAACACGCCGGTAAGTGCGTATTCCTATTCATTTTTTTTCCCCCTTCGTTTTCCTCGTCATTAAAATCACGTTGTCGTTTCTCGTTATATACGATAATATAAAGAAAATATGTAATGAAATAAATGAAGATAATAATTGAACCTTATAAAATTATAATTCGTGTATGGTAAGCGGCGTGGAGACGTAATGGAAAGCAAGCAGCGTGCCTCCTGTCTCTGGTTATTACATCGTGTTAACCGGGTAACGCGCGCGCGCGCGCGCACTTTTCGTCTCAAACCAGAGAAATGGGCAGCGGGGGGGGGGAGAAAAACACACGGCGTGGGCAAACGACAAAGCGCGGGAATCGTAACGTCTTCTCCTTCGTCGTGTCGTCGTTGTCGTTGTCGTTGTCGTTGTCGTCATCGTTGTCGGCGACATCAAACGACAGCGTCTATTATTTATGTTTATTGTTTTTCTTTTTTAAACCATTTACACGATATATTAAAACGTTCGAATAAAAATCAACGATAAGATTTATTCCAAGTAAGATCCTATATAATTATACATATATATTATATATATATATATATCTGAAATTATGATATATCCCTTTCCTTCTCTCGTATGTTTGACAGCTCGCCGTTTGACGGACTCTTCTGTAAACAACGTTGCTGCGGACACACGCACACACTATACAATCGTTCTGGCGCGTATACATTGCCTTTACGTCGTTTTACCTGCTATGGATCATCATATTGGTTAGTAATTAATCATTATATTTTATTTTAATGTTTTGTCTTCATTTTTGAAAGAAAGGAAAAAAAAGAAGAATTTTAATAGAGACAAGGAGAAGAAAAAATCTGTATACGAAAACTATACTCGTACGATAATACGAGGACAATGATTGGTTGGATTAGAAGAGAGCGTGTATGACTGACGTTTTATTATGTATGTGTAGTATGTGTATATGCATATATGTATTATACTCGTGTCATGTACGTTGCGATATGTGAACATCGAATTTCCGGCGTCAGACGCTACTGGCGCGAGTTTAGCAGGCACGTGGTGGCGCGCAAAGCCTTCCGTAAGCATCAACCAACGGGGCTCACTTGACTACCGCCAAGGATTCTGCTTTTCTTTCACGCACTCACTCTCTCTCTCTCTCTCTTTCTCTCTCTTTCTCGCTCTCTCTCTCTCTCTCTCCCTCTCTCTCTCTCCCTCTCTCTCTCTCTCTTACTACACTAGCAGATTTCGTGCTGTCTTTCTCGCCAGACTGTCAACTCGTCTTATTCTTGTCTTCTTCTTCTTCTCTGTCACTCTTTAGTAGAAAGATTGCGCGCCAGTTTGTAAGCGGCGTCCCTCCCTCCCCCTTTTGTTTAATTTTATTTTTTATTTTTTTTTTTTAAATCATCTCTATTCTTTCAATTCCCCTTCTCATACTTTTATAGGAATAATAATACTTATCACCAAATTTATGAAAACAATTTTTAAATTCAATGATTGATTTTTCTCATTTTTTTATTATTAATTTTTAATTTGCGAGTACGATCAACAAACCACGTGTTTTCGTAAATTGTTCGAGTTAGTATTTTGTAATCGATATTATCGATATTTCATTTCGATTGTTCATATATATGTATATAGGATTATATATTTACTTTTACAGAAATATGAATACTTATCATAAGATTTACGAAAACAATTTAAGTTTAACGAATCTCGTTCTCGATATCTCTCTTTTTTTTCTTTTTTTTTATTCGTTTTGTTATTTGTTTAATTTTAATTAAACAAAAATGTCTCTTTTTATTTTATACGACGATAAAATAAAATAAAATAGAATCATTGGTGGCACGCTCAAACCACGTGTTTTCATAAATCAAACTGAGTTAGTATTTTGTAATCGATTTCACTTCGATTGTTCACATATATAATACATGGGATGATAATGATATACATATTTATTCGTTAGTAACGAAAACTTTGTTTATGCATTGAACTTAGGCAATCTCTGTGTTAACATAAGAAAGAGAGAGAAAAAAAAGAAATTATTTCAATTGTTCCACGTATTTTGTTTCCGGCAGGAAATGAAAATGATTTTATTGAACAATTTTCAATCGAATATATTTCTTTTATTCTTTTTTTATCGGTATACTTATACATCAGTATATATATATAAATATATCTATAATATATTTGTTAAAAAGTGAATTACACGATCGTTGAATTAATTTTTTGTTGTATATTTTTATGTTTAACACATGATTCTCATTGTATGTTTAAAGTCGAACAAGTGTTAAAGGGTTGCATAGGGTTCAAAGAGTTGTGAAGAGGTTTGTAAAGAGAAGCAAAAGTTACTTCGATTTGTGCTTATTCTTCCTATACAATAGAAAACTTTCTCATTTTTTCTTCGTTTAGGTTGATTCCGTTTTCGGCGAGAACAAGCTGTTATATGAAAATATATATATATATATATATAATATAATAATTATATATAATTATAAGATTTTTTGTGAGG